TGAGAGACCCTGACCATTGTCAATCTCCCTCACATCAGCAATAGAGGCCATGTAAGCTTTGATAGACAAGGTTCTTATCAGCATGTTGGGGTTCAAGTAGTGCCTAGAGCTCATTTCATGGATATGTGACACTCCCCTTTGGTTCCACACCCTCCCTTCTTCCTCTATTCCCTGCAAGCCAGTCATGCTTGACTTGGTCACCTAGTTAGCGGCTGCTGCTTGATCATACGTTATTGGCACCAGTTTGATTGGCGGCTGGCTCCCTCCAGAGTGGCCGTGTGACAGGGCTAATCGGACTACGCTCAGCACCTCTCGGTGCCAATGAAATCTTCAGCCGTTCGGTAAAGGCCCGACTCAATTCATCCTCGTTTGATGGCATTTGTTAAAGGCCAACAGAGGCTAACCTGGCATCTAATTGGCTGCTGACAATTCCCCTCCCCCTCTTATCAGTTCATACTAATATTGTCGATTCTAGAGGATGAAAAGAGGGGAAAGGTGACTGATTGATTGGGCAGCTGTGTGATTTAATGGAGGAAGGGATTACTGTCTCAGCTGTCATCTTCTATCATCCCTTCTGCTCCTCCTCCTTTTCTTCTCTCCTCTAATTCTTGCCTTCACGATGAGATTTGCAGGCACGGCGCCCATTCAAGGTGACTGTGCTTAATGAGCCACATAATCCAGGACTGAGGTGCTACACCAACATTATGTGTATGATCTTCCATATGTGACCTGTAAGTAACATTATGTGGGCTGTGGCAAATGGTGACTCAAATGTTCCAGTAGCGATAAAAATTTCCATTAAATATCACTTCTCCTCCTACAGTTTTTCTAGGTTGAAAAGATCAGCATGTTATATTTGGGATGCTGATATATTGGTGTCAGGCTTGAATAGTTTTAAACAGCAAGATTTTCTTGGTCCACAAAGGAATTGTCAGCAGTAAGACCATAATAAGGGATACATGATTTTGCTTCCATATCAGGTTTTTCATTTACTGGTTTTGGTTGATATAAGATATTTATAGGCCCATATTTGGATATTTAATTGTGCATGCTTATTTCTACTATTTTTAAATTTACATAAACTTTGCCATCATCTCAGGCTCACTCAGAGTTAATCTTGAAAAACACTAGTACATGTGAATTGAATCTTTAGCAAATCTAAAAATGTATATCCACTGTTTATACTGTACATTATAATTTTGTGATGCCTCCGTTCACTTGTAGCATTTAAAATGACTGATTTTAGTTTTTAGTGTTTTATTTTTAATGTATTTAAACAATTTTATGGAATTTTAGATCAACCCATTTATCAGTTATTAGCCAGGACATGAAAAAATAATTAAGGTTACATTTTCAGCAAATCTTTGATAAAACTTTTGATAGTTGATTTTATATAATTGATAAATGATTTCCCCACACAGATTTCACAATGGTTTCAAATAGTTGGTTACATGGACTTACCGTATTTGCTGGACTACAAATCATCAATTACAATTTTGACCTGGTGTGACTTTTTTTTTTTCCAGGAAAATACAGTAGTTTGAAAGTGACTTCTGTATATTTCATACATTGCTACACTATTGACAATGGATGTCCTTTTTTAACCACAAAATTTGGCAGATTTTCTTTTGTGACTTTACATGTAATTATAATATCAATTTGTGTTGTATTTTTTTATTTATTTTGACAATTTTATATATGTTTTGTTTTATGTTGATTATGGGGTCTGCCACTAGGGGCAGCAGAGGTGTCAGGGAAGAGGGTGGAGGCCTGTTCCCAGGGGCCATGTGGAACTGTGATCCAGCCCTTGTCCACCACCTAACCCAAACCACCACAGACCTACATGAAACCACTTGGAAATTCATGCTAGTCTGGGCTGGTCTTTTCAGCTGGGTTGTCTTTGTGTGTGTGCAAGGGTGTGGGAGAGTGAAATATTGTGCTTTACTCCTCCTACAACCTTTCCTTCTGCTCCAAGGTCACTCAGCTCCAGGGTTTGGCACCAGTAGGGTACAGCAGTGCCCAACTAAAGATATGCATAGCTTCCAGCTGCTATCAGACACACTGCACCCGAGCCAACAAAAATATCCCTCACTCGCTCCTTACTTGATTTCATCCTCATTCTCTGTCTAAAGTTTTTATCATATGTCCTCGGGGAGCTCCTTTTTTTTGTACAGTACTGTGATCAAGGCTTGTGAATGAAAAAAGATGGTTGTTTGATCCAGTAATGGTACTGATAAATGGAGCCACACACGCAGGTCTTTGTGGTGTCATTTGGCAGGCCCAAGTACAGATGGAGAAGCCTGTGGCGTGAGCGATAGCTGCTCTAATAGATGCTTATCTTCTCTTTTAAAGAGTCTCCTCAAAAAGACCCAGACATTATTTTATATTTATCTTACACCGGCCTTCATTCATCATTATGCAATAATAACCCTGACCATTAAGGTCTTCTGAGATCTTGCTGAGGAAATCCATTGAGTAAATTGCTTTATGAGATGACTGTGGATCTGTGATTGCGATAAGGACATTTTGCCATGTGCTTGCACTTACGGTCACTTTATCTATAAAATTATGTCTGGTATTTATATCAATTGAATGTATTATATCTACTATTGAGTCTTTTAGGAATAAGTGGCCAGACTGGCCACTTTAAATAGTGAAGTGCCTTGATATAGAAGATTTAGCTGATAAGGAATATTTTAATGTTATGACTGATAACTAACTTTGAAGCATACACATTTTATAGAGTATATAGAAATACTTTTCATAGAGTAAAAAGGTAAGCTCTGATATTACTCTGCCAATATCAGATACAATAATATGTATTATTATTAGTAGTAGTAGAAGTAGTAGCAGTACAAACAAACAAATAAATAAATGATAACTTAAATATTAATATTATTATAGTATTAATGCTACTGCTACTATTACTACTACTAATAGTAAAAAATTATATATATGTGTATATATATATGTATGTGTGTGTGTGTATATATATATGTGTGTGTGTGTATATATATATGTGTGTGTGTAAAAATGTCAACAGTTCTGTGTTTTTCTGTCAATATGGGGTGCTGTGTGTACATTAATGAGGAAAAAAAATTAACTTAAATGATTTTAGCAAATGGCTGCAATATAACAAAGAGTGAAAAATTTAAGGGGGTCTGAATACTTTCCGTACCCACTGTATATATATATATATAGAGAGAGAGAGAGATGGATAGATGGATAGATAGATAGAATCGGTATTAATGTAAGAATAAATATTAAATACTTATAGTAGTAAATAATAATAATAAATATTATCAGTATTAATATAATACATATTTGCAAATATTAAATCTTGATATTAATAGCATTATTATTAATTTATCAGTATAAATAATTTAATCTTAACCAACAAAAGTACCATGGTACTACCATGGTTGCTTGCTGGACTTCTTTGAAGTACTCTGGAGTACAGTGTACTGTAAATGCCATGGTACATGACATTAATTTGATAATTATTGTGCACCATGGTATTGCGTCTGATACCATCACTCTACCACGGTACCACTACATTATATTTTATAATAATTGACTGGTATTAAAATGTATATTTATGCATTTGGCAGATGCTTTTATCTAAAGCGACTTACATTGCATTAAGTACAGTATATTTTTATCAATTCATGCATTCCCAGGGAATCAAACCCATGGCCTTGTGTTGCTAACGCCATGCTCTATGGTTTGCTCTACTGTATGGTCACAACATATCATGCATTAACATATGTTTTTTACTGTGCCCCCAACTTCACCCCTCCCAATTTTTTCCTCTCACTTTGTCTTTTGTCTCTCATCTTTCTGGCTCCCTCTGTCCTGGGCCATGTGGAGGTCTGAATGGTTTTTCTCTACACACGTGGGTCTCCCCCTCACTCTCTCTCTCTCCTCTCTTGCAGTTAAACCTGAGAGAAACATACAGGAAGAAGAAACAGTGAAGATTGCTCTTCCCTGACTGGGATAATCGCAGATTTTCCTGCCCGTTTTGTTTGTGCCTGTCAGCAGGTGCAATGCCTGCCACGTCACAACAGCAGGTGGGCAGCAGGGGGCGATGCACTGCTCTCCTGTTCCCGCTCCTCCTGCTGTCTGTGGCTCCCAGGCCCGGGAATGCCACCATCAACATCCCATCCAAATGTGAGTACAGGATTTTACAATTGCCTTCAATATGCATGTGCATGGCGAGTTTTTTTTTTTTTTTGCATTGATTTTTGCAGTATTATAATGTTTGCTATGGTAGATTGTTATGGTTAAAGAAGTCCATGTGAGTTAAAAAGTGCAGAATGAGATGTTTTAATTGAGTTTAATTGTTAAATTGATTATACTATTGATTTGAGCACCTAGCCTGATTAGAAAGGACATTCAAGCATGCAGTGATTGAAACGCACCTGAGCTGGAACTGTAAAAACAGCAGCTGCTACAAGCTTCCTAAAGCTATAAACAGCACTGGGTTTGTTGCTATTTTTGTACATCTGCAATTTAAGATTGCAGCTATGCATCATCTCTTTCCCGCCCCTCCAAAGATACACACACACACACACACAAAAGAAGAGGAGAAAGACTAGTTGATAAAAACTGCAAAACAGAAATGCACCAGAATGAGATGTCGGTGAAGTGTTACACCTACTTCACGGTCACGGTTTCTCTTGACTTTCAATTAGTGACCTTTAAACGGGAAATGTGGACATGGATGTGACCAATGAGATCGATAACACTGGGTTTGTTGCTATTTTTGTACATCTGCAATTTAAGATTGCAGCTATGCATCATCTCTTTCCCGCCCCTCCAAAGATACACACACACAAAAGAAGAGGAGAAAGACTAGTTGATAAAAACTGCAAAACAGAAATGCACCAGAATGAGATGTCGGTGAAGTGTTACACCTACATTAAAGGTCACGGTTTCTCTTGACTTTCAATTAGTGACCTTTAAACGGGAAATGTGGACATGGATGTGACCAATGAGATCGATAACACCCACATTAATATGTTCAGCTAGCGCAAACAGCCTGACCTGGGCAATCCCATATGCTCTGTGCCAATGCTCTGTTCCTGTCTTACGGCCCGTGTTGCAGTTTTCAGACATTCAGCACATTTGTTTTCTTAAGTTGTTGGGACTGCAGGACCAAGCAGTCTTGCAAAAGAATGGTTGAAGTCAAGGAAGGAAAATAGCTAGATGGGGAGTTTATTTTAGCTCTGCTTTGCCAGCATCTTGTTATCTCTGGTGTACCTCTTGTTGGCCAGCTGATCTATAGTCCAGGTGTCTGAGCTGGCATCATGTGTTTTCTTTGTTTCGCCTCCAAACAGTGTAATCATACCAGCGCAAACATTTGTTTCATTACAAAAAAGGCTTAATGCAGTCTATGTGGGTGGAGGTCAGGTTTTGTCTTCACTGTGGGAGCTGAATGTACTCACGAGGATAGTAAAACCTGAACCATATCATGAGGAAAACAGCCTAAAAAACATTTAATAATGTCTTAATGAAAATCTAAAAATGCTAAATGGTTTTTGTGAGGGGATCAAATATATAAGTATTAAAAAAAAAATACTAAAACAGAAAACAATTGAAGTCAATGGAAAGTTCACACCATGACAGAAGAACAAATGTGCGTTTCTTGTGAGGGGCGGGCCAAATTTCTGGAACTGTGCAAATCGATTAAACATCTAATCCTCATTAGAAAAAAAGTTTCATAAATGAGACAATATCTTAATTAAAAAGGTGTCTGTAGAGGTTTGGGTTAGATGAAGGGTGTTGTACTTAATTTAGGAATAATAAATATATAGGTGTAGTTTATGTGTATCTGTGTGCATGCTTCTAAGTGTTCAAGTGTGTAAAACATGAGTGCATGCTGTCGATGTGCATTACTGTAATCTAAAAAGATGTATTTTTTCCCCCCTGCTGACTCGATGGATAGACAAAATAAGAGACTGTGAGTATTTCTAGCATGTAACATATGTTTCTGCATGTACTAGCTCTACTCCACTAAAATTTCCCAGACTCATTCCAATAACGGAAGACAGCCTGCAGCAACAGCCAAAATTTGTTTGTTAGGCTATATTTAGAAGTGTGGGAATGATTGTGCAGAATTCAAGGGTGCATTAAGGCATGAGTCTTTTAAAATTAATGATGATCTTCCGTAAAGGCACGAGGGATGGACATGCCTCCCAGTTATAATGGTTAATGGTCCATAAGCTGGTCCATCATCAGGAATTACATTAATTTTTAAACAGTGTCCTTTTTTAATCTATGGTTTTTCCTCCTCCTTATCCACCTTTTCTAGGCATTAAAATGAAGATAGATTGACTGACTGACAGACAGACAGATATAGTCTTTTCAGTTCAGCATGTACTCTGGTGCCTCCGTACTAAAGCAAAATGAAGGGTGTTTGGAAACAAGAAGCTTCCATTCCTAAAGCTAAATGAACAGCCAGTCCTTCTAGTTGTGCATGTGGAAGTCTAAAGTCTAAACTGCATAGTGAGGATCACTCTACCCATTCCTAGACATCAGTGTTGTTATGTGTCTAGTATAAGCACTTGTTTATAGCCTCAGTGACTCTGTCCGTAGATTACATCACTAATGCTTTATTCTCTCGCTGTCTGACTCTCTTATTCATTCTTCTAGTCTCAGTTTCTTCCTGCTCTCCCATGCTTTCACAGGCCACTCATCCGTAAAACAACCGACACTTAGAGAACATCTCAGGCTCACCTAATCTCCATGTATTACCTCCGCATGCTTTACACCGTGCTTTTCATTTCCCTCTTTTCACTTGGGATGAAATTCCTAATGACATGCACGATATTGCGTTTCCCTCAATAACTAATTGAGTGTGTGCATTGGTGAGATTCAGGGGCACTTGCTTCAGAACATTGCTGAGGTTTAGTGGGAAACTTTACTGAAGTCAGTGTCGCAGCAGATCATTGCTGTTTTGAATATTGGTGTCATGTGATTACAGCAGGTCAGCGGAAAGGCTGCCTAACTACTGTGACTAATTTACCTTTCCTTATCCACGTCTGAAGCGACTAACAAATGAGCTGAAATTATTATAGCTCTGTGAAAATAGATGTCTATTTCTATTTTTAAGGTGTTGCTTTGCTAACTTCACAGCTCGCAGAAATGTAACTAGATTGATTTGAATTGAATGTTTTGTGTGTGATTGTGTACTCTCTCCACAGTGAAAAGCCCCCCAGTGATTACCGCCCAGCCGGAGTCTGTCACCACCTTTTCAGCAGATGACATCACACTCACCTGTGAGGCAATTGGGAATCCCCCGCCCACGTTAGTATCCATAGCAACATGTTACATAATTTGATAAGTTTACTTGAAGCCTATACAGTATATAATGCTTTATATATTGCTTTTTATTTTGCATTGCATTCTTTCATAAATAATTGTAACCACAGTTACAATACACTATTATACTTACCAATTCCTTGATTCACATTTAAACCTATATCGTGCATTATAATACTATGTTATGTCTTTTAAAGACTCCATAAAATCATAATTTGTCTTTTATGGCTATGTCTATTAGCTTTGAGGCCTATATGATATGGAAAACTAGGAGTGCCACTTAAAAATAAAATGAAATCAATATTCAATGTATTCAAAAATAAAAATGTAAGAAAAGACAGATAAATGGACATTTTTAATTCACACTAAACATTAATTCACATTAAACATGATTTAAATAGGTAGGGTTATATATTTGAGTATTATAATGTAAATATTGTAAATATGGTTACAGTTATTTTAAGGTGTATTATAAGGTATTATGGATACTATTTTCGTGCATTATATACACTTGCATTCAAAAGTTTGGGGTCGATAAGGGTTTTTAATGTTTCTAAATTGTAATAATATTTCACCATAGTTTTTACAGTATTTTTGATCAAATAAAGGCTTTAGAGATTTAATTCAAAGTAAATGTTTTTTTTAATTGAAAAAGTTCGTTTTTTATTGTAATATATTTTAAAAATGTATTTTATTCTTGTGATGGCAAAGCTGAATTTTCAGCAGCCAGTGTCAGTGTCACATGATCCTTCAGAAATCATTCTAATATGATTATTTAGTGCTCAAGAAACATTTATTATTATTATTAGCATAGCTGAAAACTGCTGTGCTGCTTAATATCTCAGATGAACAGAAAGTTCAAAAGAACAGCATTTAGTTGAAACCGAAATCTTTTGTAGCATTATTCATGTATTTATCTTCACTTTTGACCAATTTAATGCATCCTTCCTGAATAGTAGTATTAATTGCTTTCAAAGAAATCAAAAATCTTATTGACACCAAACTGTTGAACAGTTTTGTGAGAATTTATTATTAATCTTAAAAGGGATTGGTTAAAAAAATATTTTATCACTATAGCAATTTAATTTAAGCTTAGTATTTTTCTATATTATGATAAAAATGACTGAAATGTATTTCTTATTTGCACTATTGCTAGGTTCCGCTGGGTGAAAGATGGTGTGGAGTTTGACCCCTCTAAAGACCCTGAACTCTCTGTGTCCAGAGATTCTGGGACCTTTTCTTTGGCAGCCAAAGATGGACCCATTCACCAATACCAGGGCAGATATAACTGCTACACGTCTAATGATCTCGGCACGGCGGTGTCTAACGAGGCTCGTATCGTCACAGAGAGTAAGTCGCTCTCATTACTGCAGCATTATAAAGCGACACTTATGATTGCCTGTTTGATATCCTGACGTTACCACATGCAGTGAGTTTTCTGTAGAGAATCTGGCGCACAGCAGATAACAGCCCAAAATCAAGCCCCCTGCCCCCTGTTGTGTCATACACACAAAATGACATTTAGAGGAAAATTACAGCTCATTGTGTGTGCCAGTCATGCTAGTAGTTCAAAGAATTCCAGAACGAATAAAAATTCCAGATGGCATCCCAGTTAGCTATCAAACACAACACTGAGCAGCACTTTGTACGAAAAAAAACAACAAAACTATTGTTTTGACTAGCTATCTAGCAATCTACCTGTCTCCTTCACTCTATCCCGACCTCTCTGCCAGTTTCCCTGACAACAGTTACCTGAGAAACCAGTGTGAGTCGGGTAAGTGTGTCAGCTGGGATGGCCACTTGTGGGATTAATATGTGCAGGAAGTGAGAGTAATCGGCATGAGCGGGGGTAACAATAGCCCACATATTATGAACTCCACACGCAGCTGGGGCTGGCCACATTAATATGCACATCTATTTCATATGATTTCAAGCTAAGGCATCTTCTGAATAATGTCAGCTGTGCTTGCTAGCTACTTAGCACACTCCAGTTTCTCACAAGGATAAAATGTATCCGAAATTGTATTGTAAACAGTCATTTTAAATCTTTCCCATCCGTGTCTAAGAATTCAAGTTTAAAGTCAGCAAAAAGTTTAAAAAGAAGAAATCAATACTTTTAAGTGAGGATACATTACATTGATCATAAGTGAAAATAAAGACAACTAAATATTTCTATTTCAAATGAATGCTGCAGTGTTATTTTAGTATCATTGAGATATTACGTTTTTTATTTTTATTTGTTTTTTTTTGTATTTTCTGTTTTCTTTTTAATTATAGCTAAGGTTTTAGCTCAAAATTTAGCGGTTTGTTGTTTCTATTTTTATTAGTTTTTTTATATATATTCCTATAGTATGTATTTATTTTGTATAAGTTTTATTTTTTAGTTATTTTAGTACATAAAGTTAAACTAAATGAAAATGAGAAATGCTGCAATGGCAACTAGTTGAAATAAAATAAGTTTACTACTACATATTTTATTTTATTTCAGTTAGTTTATTTCAAGTCAAGAACGTTTTTTATGTTTTAGATTTGGTAACAACCGACACTTAGAGAACATCTCAGGCTCACCTAATCTCCATGTATTACCTCCGCATGCTTTACACCGTGCTTTTCATTTCCCTCTTTTCACTTGGGATGAAATTCCTAATGACATGCACGATATTGCGTTTCCCTCAATAACTAATTGAGTGTGTGCATTGGTGAGATTCAGGGGCACTTGCTTCAGAACATTGCTGAGGTTTAGTGGGAAACTTTACTGAAGTCAGTGTCGCAGCAGATCATTGCTGTTTTGAATATTGGTGTCATGTGATTACAGCAGGTCAGCGGAAAGGCTGCCTAACTACTGTGACTAATTTACCTTTCCTTATCCACGTCTGAAGCGACTAACAAATGAGCTGAAATTATTATAGCTCTGTGAAAATAGATGTCTATTTCTATTTTTAAGGTGTTGCTTTGCTAACTTCACAGCTCGCAGAAATGTAACTAGATTGATTTGAATTGAATGTTTTGTGTGTGATTGTGTACTCTCTCCACAGTGAAAAGCCCCCCAGTGATTACCGCCCAGCCGGAGTCTGTCACCACCTTTTCAGCAGATGACATCACACTCACCTGTGAGGCAATTGGGAATCCCCCGCCCACGTTAGTATCCATAGCAACATGTTACATAATTTGATAAGTTTACTTGAAGCCTATACAGTATATAATGCTTTATATATTGCTTTTTATTTTGCATTGCATTCTTTCATAAATAATTGTAACCACAGTTACAATACACTATTATACTTACCAATTCCTTGATTCACATTTAAACCTATATCGTGCATTATAATACTATGTTATGTCTTTTAAAGACTCCATAAAATCATAATTTGTCTTTTATGGCTATGTCTATTAGCTTTGAGGCCTATATGATATGGAAAACTAGGAGTGCCACTTAAAAATAAAATGAAATCAATATTCAATGTATTCAAAAATAAAAATGTAAGAAAAGACAGATAAATGGACATTTTTAATTCACACTAAACATTAATTCACATTAAACATGATTTAAATAGGTAGGGTTATATATTTGAGTATTATAATGTAAATATTGTAAATATGGTTACAGTTATTTTAAGGTGTATTATAAGGTATTATGGATACTATTTTCGTGCATTATATACACTTGCATTCAAAAGTTTGGGGTCGATAAGGGTTTTTAATGTTTCTAAATTGTAATAATATTTCACCATAGTTTTTACAGTATTTTTGATCAAATAAAGGCTTTAGAGATTTAATTCAAAGTAAATGTTTTTTTTAATTGAAAAAGTTCGTTTTTTATTGTAATATATTTTAAAAATGTATTTTATTCTTGTGATGGCAAAGCTGAATTTTCAGCAGCCAGTGTCAGTGTCACATGATCCTTCAGAAATCATTCTAATATGATTATTTAGTGCTCAAGAAACATTTATTATTATTATTAGCATAGCTGAAAACTGCTGTGCTGCTTAATATCTCAGATGAACAGAAAGTTCAAAAGAACAGCATTTAGTTGAAACCGAAATCTTTTGTAGCATTATTCATGTATTTATCTTCACTTTTGACCAATTTAATGCATCCTTCCTGAATAGTAGTATTAATTGCTTTCAAAGAAATCAAAAATCTTATTGATACCAAACTGTTGAACAGTTTTGTGAGAATTTATTATTAATCTTAAAAGGGATTGGTTAAAAAAATATTTTATCACTATAGCAATTTAATTTAAGCTTAGTATTTTTCTATATTATGATAAAAATGACTGAAATGTATTTCTTATTTGCACTATTGCTAGGTTCCGCTGGGTGAAAGATGGTGTGGAGTTTGACCCCTCTAAAGACCCTGAACTCTCTGTGTCCAGAGATTCTGGGACCTTTTCTTTGGCAGCCAAAGATGGACCCATTCACCAATACCAGGGCAGATATAACTGCTACACGTCTAATGATCTCGGCACGGCGGTGTCTAACGAGGCTCGTATCGTCACAGAGAGTAAGTCGCTCTCATTACTGCAGCATTATAAAGCGACACTTATGATTGCCTGTTTGATATCCTGACGTTACCACATGCAGTGAGTTTTCTGTAGAGAATCTGGCGCACAGCAGATAACAGCCCAAAATCAAGCCCCCTGCCCCCTGTTGTGTCATACACACAAAATGACATTTAGAGGAAAATTACAGCTCATTGTGTGTGCCAGTCATGCTAGTAGTTCAAAGAATTCCAGAACGAATAAAAATTCCAGATGGCATCCCAGTTAGCTATCAAACACAACACTGAGCAGCACTTTGTACGAAAAAAAACAACAAAACTATTGTTTTGACTAGCTATCTAGCAATCTACCTGTCTCCTTCACTCTATCCCGACCTCTCTGCCAGTTTCCCTGACAACAGTTACCTGAGAAACCAGTGTGAGTCGGGTAAGTGTGTCAGCTGGGATGGCCACTTGTGGGATTAATATGTGCAGGAAGTGAGAGTAATCGGCATGAGCGGGGGTAACAATAGCCCACATATTATGAACTCCACACGCAGCTGGGGCTGGCCACATTAATATGCACATCTATTTCATATGATTTCAAGCTAAGGCATCTTCTGAATAATGTCAGCTGTGCTTGCTAGCTACTTAGCACACTCCAGTTTCTCACAAGGATAAAATGTATCCGAAATTGTATTGTAAACAGTCATTTTAAATCTTTCCCATCCGTGTCTAAGAATTCAAGTTTAAAGTCAGCAAAAAGTTTAAAAAGAAGAAATCAATACTTTTAAGTGAGGATACATTACATTGATCATAAGTGAAAATAAAGACAACTAAATATTTCTATTTCAAATGAATGCTGCAGTGTTATTTTAGTATCATTGAGATATTACGTTTTTTATTTTTATTTTATTTTTTTGTATTTTCTGTTTTCTTTTTAATTATAGCTAAGGTTTTAGCTCAAAATTTAGCGGTTTGTTGTTTCTATTTTTATTAGTTTTTTTTATATATATTCCTATAGTATGTATTTATTTTGTATAAGTTTTATTTTTTAGTTATTTTAGTACATAAAGTTAAACTAAATGAAAATGAGAAATGCTGCAATGGCAACTAGTTGAAATAAAATAAGTTTACTACTACATATTTTATTTTATTTCAGTTAGTTTATTTCAAGTCAAGAACGTTTTTTATGTTTTAGATTTGGTAACTACACTAATCATGCAATGCGGTTCTTTTGAACTTTCTATAAATAAAATAATCCTGAAAAAAAGCTGTATAAGGTTTTCCACAAAAATATTAAGCAGCACAACTGTTTTCAACATTGATAATAACATTGAGCACCAAATCAGCATATTAGAATGATTTTGAAGGGTCATGTGACACTAAAGCCTGGAGTAATGGCTGCTGAAAATTCATCACAGGAACATATTACATTTTAAAATATATTACAATAGCAAACAGTTATTTTAATTGTAATAATATTTAACAGTATTACTGCTATACTGTATTTTTGATGCAGCCACGGTAAGCATTAAATAATCTTATAAAGATCCCAAACTTTTAAACGGTAGTGTAATTTGAATTAATTCCCTGTTCTCTTGCAGACACTCCCACTCTACAGAAGGAGAAGAAGGTGTCGAAGAAGGTGGAGGAAGGAGAGAGTGTGGTGCTTCCCTGTAATCCTCCTAACAGCACTGTGGCTCCGGTCATCCACTGGATGGACAAGAGTTTGTTTTATCCTGGTTTATCCATGTTAAACATGAGCCATATCTCAGCAATATCTACATATATGCATCTGTGTCTAAATCTTTTTCTCTTAGAGTTGCGTCACATTCAGCAAAACGATCGTGTGATTCAGGGTCGCGATGGAAACTTGTACTTCTCTCATGTGGCTCTGGCAGACAGTCGAGACGATTACACCTGCAACACTCAGTTCCCCAGCGCACGCATCATCGTCCTCAAAGAGCCCATCAAACTCGCTGTTGTTCCCTGTAAGCATCAAGACAGAGGATGCTGACTGTCCTTGACCAACCGTTGCTGTTTCTCAAAAACCTTTGGCCTGAAAAGAAGAGAAAGAGCAAGACATTGAGTTATTTTTAAAATACACATCTACATAAAACATCCATCCATCCATCCATCCATCCATCCATCCATCCATCCATCCATCCATCCATCCATCCATCCATCCATCCATCCATCCATCCATCCATCCATCCATCCATCCATCCATCCATCCATCCATCCATCCATCCATCCATCCATCCATCCATCCATCCATCCATCCATCCATCCATCCATCCATCCATCCATCCATCCATCCATCCATCCATCCATCCATCCATCCATCCATCCATCCATCCATCCATCCATCCATCCATCCATCCATCCATCCATCCATCCATCCATCCATCCATCCATCCATCCATCCATCCATCCATCCATCCATCCATCCATCCATCCATCCATCCATCCATCCATCCATCCATCCATCCATCCATCCATCCATCCATCCATCCATCCATCCATCCATCCATCCATCCATCCATCCATCCATCCATCCATCCATCCATCCATCCATCCATCCATCCATCCATCCATCCATCCATCCATCCATCCATCCATCCATCCATCCATCCATCCATCCATCCATCTATCTCTTTTGTTCTGTCTGTCCATCCATTCATTTCTTTTGTTCCATCCATTAATCAATCAATCATTTCTTTTGTTCCATCCATCCATCGTGCACCCACTTACTGCAGCTGTAATTGTCCATCCATCCATCCTTCATTTCTTTTGTTCCAATCCATCCATCCATCCATCCATCCATCCATCCATCCATCTCTTTTGTTCTGTCTGTCCATCCATTCATTTCTTTTGTTCCATCCATTAATCAATCAATCATTTCTTTTGTTCCATCCATCCATCGTGCACCCACTTACTGCAGCTGTAATTGTCCATCCATCCATCCTTCATTTCTTTTGTTCCATCCATCCGTTCAACCATCTGTCCATCTATCTGTTTCTTTTGTTCTGTCTGTCCATCCATCCATCCGTCAATCATTTTTTTTTCCATCCATCCATTGTGCACCCACTTACATCCATCCATCATTCCTTTTGTTCCATCCATTCAACCATCCATCCATCCGTTTCTTTTGTTCTGTCTGTCCATCCATTCATCATTTCTTTTATTCTGTCCATCCATCTGTTCATCTATTACTTTTTGTGCTGTCCATCCATCCATCGTTTATTTTGTTCATTCCATCCATCCATCCATCCAATGTTCTTTAATTTTTCATTCTATCTAATGTCATAAAAAGTCTGAAACATATTGCGATATTAAGCTTTTTTGCCCAGTCTTAGTCCTGTGTGAACACCCACTTACTGCAGCTGTAATTGTTTATGATGCTCTCTCCTCATTTCTCTCAATAATTCTGTCTTTGTCTGTATCTGTAGCTAACTCAGTAGTGCGTAACAGAAGGCCACAAATGATGCGACCCACTGGCTCCCACAGCTCCTATCTGGTGCTCAGTGGCCAAAACCTGGAGCTGGAGTGCATTGTCCAGGGCCTGTAAGTCAAACCTGCTCCGACTGTGTGTCTTTGACAGTTACTTCCTTAAAAAGTGTCCGGTGTGTTTACATCCTATTCCCTCACTTACTAGGCCCTCTCCCAAAATTCAGTGGATCAGGAAGGATGGAGTCCTGTCAGAGTCCCGCACATCCAAAGATAGTTATGATCGAGTTCTGCGCTTTAAGAATATCTCAGAGTCTGACAGCGGCGAGTACCAGTGTACTGCCACAAATCTGCAAGGCATGATCACTCACACCTACAGCGTCACTGTGGAAGGTACTGCATGCTTCACACTGTCAGATCACATCCTCTCCAGATTTAGATTTGGATGTGGGGTGTGAACTTGAGAAAATCAATGGGAGGATGACTTAAAAAACAAAAAAACTTAAAATTAAACTATTGACTACCTCACTTCCCTTTTGGAAGGTTGCATATAATTGTTGACTGAGACCTTTCATGATTAGTTGTTTGTGTTTTGTGGTGGTATAGCTGCCCCATATTGGATTAAAAAACCAAAGAGCCAACTGTACGCCCCGGGAGATACAGTCAAACTGGAATGTAAAGCTGATGGTATTCCCAGCCCTGAGGTCACCTGGAGCATCAATGGCAATCTTCTTACTGGTAATTGAATCAGTCAAGACACATTCCATTTCTTAATGCGGGGTTTCCCCACACTAGGTTTTGAGAAGGAACTGCAATGGGTTTATGATTTGATGCAAAGCTAATTAATAAAATCACAAAACTGTAAAATTGAGAAAGAAAAAAAAACTACTTAAATATATTTGTTTTCCTGCACGTCATGTGAACATTAACCGAAATGAGAGAATTGTGACCATGTGAATGTGTTGTTAAATTATTGAATTATTAACTTAAAATCTCAGGAGATACTTAAATATTTTAAGTCCAAGGGATTCAGCTGAGAAAAAAAAATTGGAATCACTGGCTTAAAAGGATAGTTAACCAAAAATGTTTCATTTTTTCATCATTTAGTCACCCTCATGTTGTTCCAAACTTGCATGAATTTCTTTCTTCTGTTGAACACAAAAGAAGATATTTTCTGGTAGCCATTGACTTCAATAGTAGGGAAAAAATACTATGAACGTCAATGGCTACCAGCAACTTTTTGATTACTAGTATTCTTCAAAACATCATCTTCCGTGTTCAACAGAAGAAAAAAAGCAGAAGAAATACTGTCCCTTAACTGTATATTTTGCTTGTATATGTAGAATAATCTTTGTTTGAGACATTGGTATATGGTCTTGTATTGACATATTGAGGTGTCTTTTTGCGTAGATATTGACCCAGACCTCAGACGCAGCTTGAAACATGGCGTTCTCACTCTGAAGAATGTGGAGCTCAGTGACACTGCAGTGTATCAGTGCAAAGCAGTCAATAAGCATGGATCTATCCTCATCAATGCCTACGTCTATGTTATAGGTAAGGGAATTTCCAAAAACAGCTCTAAAAAGTTATTTTTGTTGTGGTGCTTGCTAAGGCAAAATACAGGGCTCAGAATACCATAGACTTCATTTGTAAACTACCCTAGCAACAACATAGCGACATGCTAACAAACCACTCAAAACACCTTAGCAACAGCATAGCATTAGCAACCACCCTGAACATAATTGCATAGCCAATCACAACTCAAAAACTAAAAACATTTTCTAATGTTTTTATTTTGTTTCTCTAGAACTGCCTCCCCAGATTCTGACAGAAGATGGTCTCATGTACTCTGTGGCAGAGGGACAGACAGCTGAGCTGGCTTGTGAGACCTTTGGCTCTCCTCAGCCCAATGTCACATGGTGAGACAGACTCTATCCTGTGGGGTGTCCCTTCCTCACCTGCCAGAACTGCTCCGGCCAGCTGTCCTGATTATTGGTGTAGTGTGGGGAGTCCGTTGGGAAAATGGGAAAAATCATACTCAATAGTCAACATTTCGGGAAAAAACATGGTGTTATTTTGGCACACTGCTACCATTTGAACAGGCTAAAATAAATATTTTGTGCGTTCACAGGGAAGGTGAGACCTGGGGTGCACTTGAAGCCAACCCAAGGATGAGCCAGTTACCCGATGGCTCTCTACAGATCAGTAACCCCTCCCTCAATGACAGCAGCCAGTACACCTGCACTGTTAGCAACAGTAAAATCACCATCACTGCTGAGCTGGATGTACTCAGTGAGTTCCACACCATATTTAGAAAAGTTTCCATTTCAGGCTTTTAGGATCATTTCTTTTGTTAATGTTCATTTTGGCTTTTTTTGTGTTCTAATATCCACATACAAGGGACAAAAAATATGCAAAATATTATTAAATACTAATATTATGTGTACAGAGACTTTTATTACAACAAGGAAAATAGGTAAAAAAAATATTAAACTAATTCAGGATATATTCTCTTAAAGTCTCGCTATCTTACATATTCTTGTTTCTTGTGGATTTTTTTTACTATAATTTTTTTTAATTGAAACACGACAAAAAAAAAATTATTGAAATCTTAAAATTAAGATATTTTTTACAAATAGAAATGTTGTCCCTCAGATAAGACAGTCATTGTGAAACCTCCATTGGCTCTGCGAATCCAGCGGGGGAAGCCCGCTACCCTCACCTGCGAGTACCAGGTGGACTCCAGGCAGGACACCCCTCAAGTCCAGTGGAGGAAGAACCGGCAGAAGCTCACAGAATCCTCTGATTCTGACAAGTATGCTTTTATACCTTCGTTTCTTTCAGAATGCTTCAAAAAGGCTAAATTTAAGCTGTATAACATGATCTCATGAACGTTATTAACCATAAATGTCTTAGGTACATGATAGACGAATCCACCCTCATAATACCTGATGTCGAGGAAGAGGATGAAGGGATTTACACCTGTGAAGTCATTACCACTCTGGATATGGCTGAAGCGAGTGGCTCCATCACTATCGTTGGTAGGTAACTTTATAATCTGCCTGTTCTCTAATATGGCCATTTCTAAACCCTTTTATGTGTCTGGATCTATATAGCTGTATGTGTATTGCAAGTTGTATGATAATGTGACCTACAGAAAGGACAAAAGGACATGTTTTGCTGTAGGCATATTCAAGTAATAACCTTTAAAACCATAGATGCCTTGTTTTTACTAGCATCTTACCCCCTGACCTCTGTCAACCCTCATTCACCAGACCGACCAGACTCTCCGACACAAATACAGATGACCGAACCTAAAGATCGCAGTGTCACTCTCAGCTGGACACCTGGAGATGATCATAACAGCCCTGTGCTAGGTACCATAAATGTTTTCCTGTTTAGGCAACAGTTTAAAGGGATAGTTCACCCAAAAGTTATATATAAATTAAGATATTTTTGATGGAATCTGAGAGCTGTCTGACCCTGCATAGACAGCAACGCAACTGAAAAGTTCCCAAGTCCAGAGACGTAGCAAGGAGATCTGTAAAATAATCCATGTGACATCAGTGGTTCAACCGTAATTTTACGAAGCTACGAGAATACTTTTTGTGTGCAAAAGAAAAAAAATATAACGACTTTATACAACAATTCGTCTTCTCCGCATCACCCTGGTGCCATTTTGGAGAGTACCTGCTGGACGTAAACAACGTATGCTGTTCTTTGACCCCTTTGACCTAAAATATTTACTATAAAATATAAGAACCCTCTGAGATTTAATTTCAGTCATTTCAAAAACACATGTTCATGATTCACTGCTGTTGGTAACTAGTCACATGACATGCACTTAAACAAGTAAAATATTTTGTGTGTATAATATCTATATATATATCTATATCTATCAGGGGCGTTTCCTCCGAGGAGGCAAGGGAGGCAGTGTCTCCTCAAAAAATTGGATGAGAAAATAATCGATATTACAAACATACATCGCAAATATTACTAAATATGGCATTAAAAGTAGAAAAGTCACTCGTTTTTATAAAGTAACACTGTCAAACAGCGACACCCGCAGGTAAAGTTACAGCGGAGGCTTGCCTCCCTTCGCTCCATAGACTTTCTACAGAGACCCTAAAGCAGGGCTGTCCAAACTCGGTCCTGGAGGGCTGGTGTCCTGCAGAGTTTAGCTCCATCTTGCCTCAACACACCTGACTGGAAGTTTCTATGCCTAGTAAGAGCTTGATTAGCTGGTTCAGGTGTGTTTAATTAGGGTTGGAGCTAAACTCTGCAGGACACCGGCCATAATGCATTAGTAAATGTTGAAATTAATATTAACTAAGATTAATAAATGCTGTAGAAGTAGGCTATTGTTTATTCTTAGTTCATGTTAACTAAAGTAGTTAACTAATGTTAACTAATTAAACCTTATTGTAAACTGTTTCCAGAATATTGTTCAAATTGTTACTGCCTTTAGTTATTATTTTGGAATAAATATAAAAATGCATCAAAACACTATGAAATGTATAATTAGTATTAAAAATGTTAAATATAATACAAAATAATATTAATAAAATACTAAATAGAATTATATTTGTTCTCTTTTTTTTGTGACAACATTAAGTGTAACAGGACGGACACACACACACACGCACACACACGTACATATATATATATATATGTATATATATATATGTGTGTGTGTGTATATGTTTTAATTTAGTTTTTAGATTTTCATCAGTTCATGGTTCTCTGATGTTGGTAACTAGTCACAGGACAAGTGAACAAATAAAATATTTTTCTATATTTTTTTAATACAGGTGCATCTCAATAAATTAGAATGTCGTGGAAAAGTTTTATTTATTTATCATTTATTTCAGTAATTCAACTCAAATTGTGAAACTTGTGTATTAAATAAATTATATATATATATATATATATATATATATGTATATATATATATGTGTGTGTGTGTATATGTTTTAATTTAGTTTTTAGATTTTCATCAGTTCATGGTTCTCTGATGTTGGTAACTAGTCACAGGACAAGTGAACAAATAAAATATTTTTCTATATTTTTTTAATACAGGTGCATCTCAATAAATTAGAATGTCGTGGAAAAGTTTTATTTATTTATCATTTATTTCAGTAATTCAACTCAAATTGTGAAACTTGTGTATTAAATAAATTCAATGCACACAGACTGAAGTATTTGGTTCTTTTAATTGTGATGCTTTTGGTTCACATTTAACAAAAACCCACCAATTCACTATCTCAACAAATTAGAATACTTCATAAGACCAATAAAAAAACATTTTTAGTGAATTGTTGGCCTTCTGGAAAGTATGTTCATTTACTGTACATGTACTCAATACTTGGTAGGGGCTCCTTTTGCTTGAATACCTTTGCAGGTGTTTTGAGTTGATTAGCTGATTGGCATGTCACCATATTCTAATTTGTTGAGATAGTGAATTGGTGGGTTTTTGTTAAATGTGAGCCAAAATCATCACAATTAAAAGAACCAAAGACTTGAACTACTTCAGTCTGTGTGCATTGAATTTATTTAATACACGAGTTTCACAATTTGAGTTGAATTACTGAAATGAACTTTTCCACGACATTCTAATTTGAGATGCACATGTATATATTTTGTTTTATCTTGATTTGTTTTTATTTCGATTTTTTATTTTGTTTGATTTAATTCAAGCTTTTCATCAACTTTAAAATATATGCCTTTTTTCATATTTCGAATGTAAAGCAGTTGCATTCTTGCACTTTTAAATGTGTTTGAAGTGTTTAAATACATTTTGGAGGCCAGTCTTTTATAAAATCAGTGACATTTCCTCCTGTTCTATGTGTTTATGTATCTAGAGTATTTGATTGAGTTTGAGGAGACTGAGTATGAAAGAAAAGAATGGGAGGAGCTAAGCCGCATGCCAGGCAACAATCAGCGAACTACCCTTTCCCTGAAGCCCTTCCTTTCCTACCGTTTCCGAGTCATCGCCATCAATGACATCGGCAAGAGTGACCCGAGCATGTACACAGATGTCTTTTCCACACCAGCTGCTCGTAAGTAACACTGCACGTGTGAGCATGTGCATGTTTACATAGCCTTAAAACAGAAAAGACTTGTAATGCTACATTGTGATGCATTTGTTTTGTCCCTTGAATCATTGTATGACACTTTGGATTTGTGTTTGTATCTTCTCTCAGCATGTGGCTGATGTGAAGTGACAGTTTTATTGCCACGTTAGAACAACTTGGCACTAAATTATGATTTGTCCTCTACAGCTCCAGACAGTAACCCTGAAGGAGTGCGCAGTGATTCCATCGACCCAGACAACCTTGTCATCACATGGAAGGTATGTTGCACAGTTCAGCATTTAAAGAGACCAGAAATGATTCTGTCATCTTGTATTCATCCTCGTGTCGTTCCATACCTGTATGATTTATTTTTCCATGGAACACAAAAGATATTGTAAACGGGAGAAAAAAAGTGAACAGGAGATGTCCCGGTTAAGCTTTAAAATAGACAAAAATTTTCCTAAAGGAGCCCATATGACTTCATATTGTAAGCAGTGTTGGAAAGCACCTAACTAAAAAAGTATTGATGCTACTAACTATATTTTTGGTAATATGAGTAGTGGTGTAGCATGACCAAACATTTTTAATATGTTTGAAAATGTTTTTAAAACAACTACACATGCTCACAGTTGTTGTATGTAGCATTGTCAGGTCTGATTCATTCTAGTGAATCAGTTCATCTTATACAGTCCCTTCTCTCATATGTAGTGTAAGAAAAGTCTGATTGATTCTAGCGAATCTTTTTATCCTCACCTGTCTCTCTCTCTCTCATATGCAGTATTTCAATTCCAATTCATTCTAGTAAATCGTTTTTTCTTAAACAGTCCTCTCTTTCTCACTTGTAGTGTTGGAAAATCTGATTCATTCAAGTGAATCAGTTCATCCCAGTTCATCTCTCTTTCTCTCTTATGTAGTGTTAGAAAAGTCTGACTTATTCTAGCGAATCGGTTCATCTTAAACGGACCTCTCTCTCATATGTAGTGCTAGAAAATTCTGATTCATATTAGTGAATCGGTTCATCCTAAACTGTCCTCTCTCTTGCATGCAGTGTGTTTCAGTTCCAATTCATTGTAGTTAATTGGTTTATTTTAAACAGTCCTCTCTCTCTCATACAGTATGTTGTTAGTGTTGGAAAGTCAGATTTCTTCAAGTGAATCAGTTCATCCTAAATGTTCATCTCACTCTCTTATGTAGTTTTAGAAAATTCACATTCATTCTAGTGAGTTGTATCATCTTAACTAGACCTATTGACCTAATAGACTATTGTCAATGTTTGAAATTATCATTGTTCACAGAAAAATACAGTTTGGCTCAAAACTGAATCTGTGTTCTTGCAGGAAATGGACAGGCGTAGTTTCAACGGCCCAGGTTTTAGCTATATAGTGATGTGGAGGAAAGTTTTGGGCAGCGGTCCATCCTGGAACACCAAATTGATGACCTCTCCACCCTTCACCGTCACAGATGTGGGCAACTTCTCTGCCTTTGACATTAAAGTGCAAGCTGTTAATGAGATGGGAAATGGTCCGGAGCCCAAATCCACCATTGGATACTCTGGAGAGGACTGTGAGTTTGTCATGTTTGATATTTTTACTGCTCTTGTGAGCCCTTTTCCTGACATCTTCCTGTAAGGTTATGTATTTCAATTCACCCCAATTAAACAATAAATTTAGTTAATCCTAATGTGCTCTTTCTTCCTGTCAGACCCGCTTGAGGCCCCTATGGATGTGGGAGTGGCTTTGATCAACAGCACTGCAATTGTAGTGACGTGGGCGCCCATAAACAGAGAAACTGCGAGAGGTCGTCTGCAGGGTTACAAGGTAATATACTGTACTGTGCTAAACTGTGAGATGTAAAATATATTTGACAATTTATGTATTCATCCTATAGATTTATCTTATGCACTATGGCCCGGAAAGCAGACACCTCCGACGGGAGCGTGTTAGGGAGGGGAAGCCAAGCAACATCTCGTTTGTGATGACAGACAGTAATGAGGAGAGGAAGGTTCTGGGAGACCTGCAGCCCTACTCCCATTACGCACTGTCTGTGAGTGTCTTCAACAATAAAGGAGAAGGTCCCCAGTCTGACCCCCTCACTTTCCACACTCCAGAAGGAGGTAAGAATGAAAGACTGAGAGACAAAAAGTAAAAATAGATGAAGAAGGGTGAGGGATTCAAATCCTGTCATCCATTTTTTCCAGTACCTGGTCCTCCATCATCTTTGCTGCTGGATAGCCCATCGGAGACAGAAATGACACTGCATTGGACTCCACCCACCCAGCCGAACGGTGTCCTGAAAGGATACATGTTAAAGTATCAACAAGGTGCGTTGACCAACAGCCTAATTCATTCTAGAAGCAGTGATCATTAAGCATCAGAAAACCATTCAAAACACTATAGCAGGTTTCCTCAAATCTTTTAGCTCCAACCCTAATCAAACACAACTGAGCAAGCTCGTCAAGGTCTTCAGGATCCCTAGAAAATCACGGGTAAGTGAGTTTGATCAAGGTTTGAGCTAAACTCTGCAGGCCAGTGGCCCTCCAGGACCGGATTTGAGGAACCCCGCACTGTAGCAACTGCATATAGCAAGTGCTTGATGGTTAACATTTTAAAACAACTATTTTTAAAACCACTAAACAATGTTTTTGACATGTCTAGTGTCTCTTCTTCCCCTCATTTCTCTGCAGTTGATAAAGAAGACAGTCCCATGCAAATGATAGAGATTAGTGACCACGTGGTGTCTCACTTCAGCTTAAAGCTGGATCCTCATAGCCGTTACCGCTTCTACCTGCAAGGCTACACTGCTAAGGGAGAAGGTCTGCCAATCATCACGGAGGGAGCCACAACTCTGGATGGAGGTCCAACATTTTACTGATCTAAATTATATCTACATTATATATTAAATGTTTTCACGGACACTTTGTCCTAACCAGACTTGATGCGACACACTTCTAGCGAAGTAATTTGTGTCCACACTGAAAATAAGAGGAAATGTGACATAATCACAGCCACTTTGAATTATATTTGGACAAATGAGTTTGTGTAACGAACAATCAACCAGATTTAAAGGTGTCTAAGTCTCACTTTTGTGTGTGTGTGTGTGTGTGAACAGTTCCACCCTCCAACATTAGTTTATCGACTGGAGAGACATCAGTCAACCTGACATGGGTATCGAAAGAAAGACAGAGGAACGTGGGATTCTTTATTCATTACCTGAAAAAGGATGGTACGGACAGGATGTGATTGAGAATGATTGAACACAAGCTTGTTCATTGAATAGCAAAATAGAAAGTAGCAGCTTTATTAAGTCTTATGTTACTTAGTGCCTCTACTTTTTCAGTAACTGAGAGAGAATAAAAAAACGAGTGTGTTTTGATTTGTACTGTATTGTGTGTATTTGTCCAGGCAAAGGCACATGGAAGCGCTCTGAAAGAGTGAACAGCTCTCAGTCTTTTTACACGCTGCAGGGGCTCCAGTCTGGGTCCGAGTACCGCTTGAAGATTGACTTCAAAAACAAAACTTTATGGGAGGATGAGATCCAGACAGCAGGAGCAAGTAATCACAAAACAGCTCTCTTAATGCTTTTTATAATAAATTGCACTGATGTCCTATTTACATGCAGTCCACAGAAGAAATTGAAAAGAAGAAATCTTGGTAATATTTTCCATTCTGTGATGTTCATAGTATCTTCCAAATTTCTCTCTTTTTTTCCACTGTAAGAATGAAGGTCATATACACTACCATTCGAAAGTTTGGTGTCAGTATATTTTTTGTTTCTGGAATAAGTCTCTTATACTCACAAATGCAGCATTTATTTGATCAAAACCACAGTAAACCCGTAGTATAGCGAAATAGTAAAAGAACTGTTTAGTATTTAATATATTTTAAAATGAAATGTATTAAAAACCTGATTTTTCAGCAGCCATTACTTTAGTCTTCCAGTCACAACAAGTTCCTTCAGAAATCATTCTAATATGCTGATTAGTGCTCATGCAACATTTTTTTTATTTGTTATCATTAATGCTGAAAACAGTTGTGCTGCTTAATATTTCTGTGGAAACCAAAATACATGTTCCCAAGATTCTTTAATTAATAGAAATTCTAAAAGAAAAACATTTATTTGAAATCAAAATTTTTTGTACATTATAAATGTCTTTACTGTCTTTACTTTTGATCAATTTAATGTATCCTTGCTCAATAAAAGTATTACATTACATATTATAAAAATCTTACAAACCCCAAACTTTTGAAAGGTAGTGTAGGTTTGTAACAACATTAAAGAGAGTAAATGATGACAGCATTTCCATTTTGTCCCCCTTTAATTAAAAATAAAAAATCATACATTTCCCTCTCACTTCAGAAGTCATGGAGATAAGTCAAGGGTTTGTGACTGAGAGCTGGTTCATTGGACTCATCAGCGCCCTCGTGCTGTTGCTGCTGGTACTGCTCATTCTGTGTTTCATAAAACGAAGCAAAGGTGGAAAATACTCAGGTATAAGAACCACTGTCACACATCATTCTAATCTATTTAACCACCCTTAGTGTGATTTGTCCCTTGACAGTACTAACAAATGCGCAAATATCCCTGAATTGTATTCTTCCCACAGTCAAAGAAAAAGAAGAAGGCCAGATAGATTCTGAAGTTCGGCCAATGAATAATGAGGCTTTTGGAGAGTACAGGTGTGGTGAAGTTTGTTAGACAGATTATTGCATAAATTTAATTTCCCCATTTCTTATGCTCTTCCTTTCTCTCCTAAATGCTCTTCTTAATGATTTGCAGATCGCTGGAGAGGTATGCTTTGCAGTGGCATTGTTTTTTTTTTTATGCATGGCTTTCTCAATACTTTCCCTTGCATGCACAGAGTGGCATTTTTGACGTCACACTTGGTTTACATTTATATATTTATTTGTATTTTTCTTTCCCCCTTTCTCTTCTCGCATAGTGACAATGAGGAGAAGCAGACAGCCAGTCAGCCATCTCTGTGCGAGGATAGTAAGCTATGTACCGACGACGCTCTAGATGACTACGCCAACAGCAACAGCGTGCAGACCGAGGTCATCATGGACGAGTCACTGGCTAGTCAGAGCAGCGGAGTCCGAGATGTTCCTGACCCCGGGACTCAGGAAAGTTCCCCTCTAAATCCTGCCACAGCCATTTCCCACCACGGCCTGCCCAACTCCGCCGCCTTCCTTGACTAGCCAGGGCGAGCCCGAGCCCAAACGTGGATTCACACATGTGCCCGCCTGTTGCAACCACTCATGACTGACCAAATAATTGAAAACCCACAATAATGAGACCCACACACACAACAGATGCCAAGAAAACCAACCAGAAGCACTGCTGGAACTTACTTCAGATGTAATTGAACCAACACAACACTTTTGACACAGCCAGAGGAAAACATTCGACTGACATATAACAAATAGACTGCCATGCTCGTTGTTTACAGATATTATCTCTCATTTTACAGTATAAAATAGGCTCTAGCCGTTTACAGTTATATTGACGTGACAAGAACATCTCCAGAAGAGACTTCTTTGATAATCCAGTGACCTAAAGTAGACACCGAGCTCCCATGGCGAACACCAAATCAAATCGGAGTCAGATTCACCTGTTAGTCAATTAAAAAACGTTGTAGAAGGAGGGTATGAGGGAGAAGAGAGAAGCTGAGGGCCTTAAAATCATGACTAAGTGCGTTGTGCAAGCATATAGACAGCATGATCTGGTTGCAAAATTTAATCAACTTATTGTTTTGTGCGTCTCTGTCATTTCTTTCTTTCTTTTTATTCTTTGAAGACTTGCCTGAACCATTTTTATTATTATTTTTTATGATTAATGTATTTTTTTTTTTTTTTTACACAAGAATCAGTTTGGTGTCGTGTTTTAAAGGTGCTGTAAGTGACGTTAGCCATTGTGCAACTTCTCAGTTTTAGCCACTGAATTAGATATGCACCCTTTAAAAAAAAATTTAATAAATAAAAAAACCTTAAAAAGACTAGCGCCGTTAGCGTGGCCCTGCTGGTACATTTTTCACTGTCAAAATTCAGTGTGTTGTGACAATTTTATTTGGCAAACAACTTGGTAAATTTGGTTACATGTTATAGTAGATGTTTGAACAGTGTCCAATTCTTTTCAGAAATGAAAATTCATCTATTTTCTAAATGCATCTTATTGATATTGTGAATGATGCATATGTTTCATTTTTTACTTTTTATCAAAATGTCATAACTCGTTCTTCCAGTGAAACGACAGACCTTCTTACAATCTACTGCAATGTCACATTCAGATCTGCCACGATCTAATCAACAACAGATCGATAAAACTAAGTCTCCACCCTACATTTTTTCTCCTTTTTGAGAATTCCGATATTTTCTGAGTTCCGTTCCATAAAATTTACTTACAGTACCTTTAAGTCATCTGTACGTTGATTTATTGTAATATTGTCATGATTCAACAGAAGATGCATATCGGCATCCTCTCAGTTACGATTACAGGTTTCCATAGTGTAAATACATGATGCAATGGCTCTACGACATAAGATCGTTTATAGCAAGCTGTACATTTAAGCATCTATCAATTTAGCCAAATACAGTATTATAATCTTTCATCTCCATCGGTTCCTGTGCCTGCCTTCGACAACATACTCACCACCATCTCTCATGTTTATTTCTCCCTCTGTATGTGTCTGTGTGCTTAATTCTTGTTTTCTGCATTGTATTAAACTGTACTGACTGATTTTCTCTTGCAGCCCTGTTGGTGTAAAGCCATAAGAACACACACGTAAGGTGCGTAGTTTTGAGGTCGTATTGAGTTAGATAGGGCTGTGAGAGAGTATGTCACACACAGTTTAGTTTGGTTACGTAAAATGCAATCATGTACTGACTTGTGTCTTATTACACAGAATGTATGCTTTGTTTGGGTGGGAATTGTTCCATACCAGTATACCAAATAGCATTTGTTCCCTTTTTTGCTTTTTGGTTCATTTGATTTGATGTTTTATAAACGAATATAGCAGAATATAGCACTGAGAGAATCTATGGCACATCTGGTATTTCTCAAGAGAGAGGGGCACATGGGGAAAAAATCTCTTAATTTCCAGATGAATGTAAATACAGCCCAAAAAGATTGTTTATGATGATGTTGAAAACTGTCTTGTTGTTTGTTTTAGGTTTTTAAATCTGAGTTTTGTAACTTTTTTTTAAACTTTCAAGTAACTTGTTAGTTGTGATTTGAGTGTGGTAGACAAGTAGAGCATAGTTTTAAATAACTAAGAAAAAAGTCCTTTGATAAATGTTACAGGTTCTGAAAAAAAAAAAAGCTGATTGGATAAGAGAGATGGAAATAAGCTAAATGAAGCTACAGGCAAAACATGATTGCGCTTATAGTTTCCCAAGTGCTAAAGAATAGCAGTATTGTGCATATCTGATTAGAATCTATTGCTGCAGAGGCAGCGTGAAATGAAGGACGCAGTCATCTTATTTGCACCACTGCACACACACACACACACACACGCTTCCAGGGAGCATTAGAAACACGCTGACTCAGATCTTTGAGACCACTGTCTTGAGCGGCTTTTGCAGTGATGCCCAGCCCTCTGGAATAGCTGTGTTAGCCTCCCTCACAAAAGCTGTACAGACAAACTCAGGACAAAAGTCTCTAAGAGATCTATTTTCTTACAGGAAGGGGAAGTGATGCAAATTATATTCAATTCAATATTCAACTAAACTGCTGCTAGACGACTTGTGTATTTTGTCAGTGTCTTGACTGTGCATTGAGCTCGGAAGTGAATCGACTCTTGGATATCCACTATACTGCCCTCTGCTACTGCAACTAAAACTGGATGGGAGGGCACCGTTTAAAGCTTGACTAGTGAACGAACGTTGCCGTTTCTGTTGTTAGTTGTCAAATGTACTCATTCAAGCTCATAATGCATCTTAAACTGTAGGCTTAAAGCATAAATAAGCTTGACATAATAGTCTCTTATTCCTCTTGTATGTTCTGTTTGTTACTGCATATGATGTGAAAATAAATGAAGGACGAGATGAATGAGGCTGTGGGACTGTATTGGTCACATTCTCCTGCTGTGTTGTGGACTGGAGGGGAAGTGAGGGTGGGCTACCTTAACTAGATATGAACTGGATTTGGCTATTGTATCTGCATCACCAATCGGCCAGTGGAAGGAAATACTTAAAATCAATGGGATCGTCTACATCTGCAACAAAGTTGTTATATAAAACATCCATCACTATATAAAGTATTATAAAGGCAACTGTCAGCAATGATGCCTATAAAAGGTAAATTTATGAATGTCAAATGCAAACAGTGCTTTGAAATCCAGTACCACTTTATTTCTCGTGCAGGAGAATGATCAGATGAGAGGATTGAATGGGATGGTGCTTTATCGAGAGCTTGTGCCAAACTGGGTGAAGTACTGAACTGAGGGACGGTTTGTATAGAGCTGCTTGTCGATGTAGTGTTGGCTGAAAAACAGAAAATATCATGTTTCTAGACATCCAAAAATTACTTTGCTAATAGCTACTAGCAATTTTATTTTTAACGTAAACTACCGTTCAAAAGGTTGGGGTGGGTACGTTTTTTTTAATGTATGTGAGAGAAGTCTCTTATTCCCATCAAGGGTACATTTATTTGATCAAAAATACAATAATAACGACAATATTGTGAAATATTATTACAATTTAAAATAACTGAGAGACCCCTTCATATGATTATAAAGTGCTTTGGGTGTACAGCAATACACAAAGCGCTATCTAAATGTCTCATTCATTCAACTGTTTCCTGTTTAATATTCTATTTAAAATATATTTAAATTATTATATTCAAATATAAGTCAAATTAAATATATTTCAGCAGTCATTACTCCAGTCTACAATCGCCTTTGATCAATTGAATGCATCCTTGCTGAATAAAAGTAGTAATTTCTGCCAAACAAAATACTGACACAAACTTTTGAACAGTAGTGTGTATATCCAGGTCAAATAGAATATATTAAACAAGAAAAAGTGCAGGATGGGATTTTGAAATGTGAAAAGTGACCCTATTATTGCCATTACTATATGAACTATTGGAAAGCTTGCATTACCAACCACAGTAGCCTGAATTTGGTTGTTTTATGATAACCTTTTGGCCTGGCATATATCAGCCAAAAGGAAAAGTTGTTGGAGAGGAGCAAGTTATTTAAATTTAGAGAAAAAAAATTGTGATGAATTACATAGACCATTTTTAAGGTCTTTACTACTCTTGATTGTATATTTTCCAGTTTTGCGTTCTGTTTGCGTCCTTCTGTGTTTTTAAAAATAGTGAAATATGAATGTGCCACTTACTGCGTTTGCTGCTCTAGTGCCAGCTGTTGATTGTATTTATCGAGTTGAATTCTCCTCTCTCTCTGCAGCTCCTTGTCTCTTTTCTCCTCTCTCTCCTGCTGTCTGGCCTGCTCTGTCAGATGGTAATCCCAGGCCACGTCTCTCTGCATCTCCATCTCTTTCAGTCCCTGGTGAAATTGGAAAGGGATAAAAGAGTATTACTTTTATGATGACTATAAATGCATGCTCAAATGGCACATGTCAGTGCCGCATCTTAACCTCTTTCTCCAAACACTGTTCCTCTCTCTTTCTGTGGATATCACTGATCTGCTGTGGTGTCATGCCCTTCCAGCGGTCGGTCAGGACTTGTGGACCCTCTGCCGAGGATTCGGTTTTTCTCTTTGCAGCCTCTGGTCGCTCTGTCAGGAGGTCAGAGGTCACCATGTACTGCACCTCTGCCAGCTCCTCTCCCTCTCTCCTCAGTCTCTCTTGTTGCTCCTTCTCCATCCTCTCCTCTGCCTGCAAAGAGAGGTCAGATGTTACCTTGACCTTTCATCTCAAGGATCTATGGTGCCTCTGGGTTTTCGAAATGAAAATTCTGTCATGATTTACTCATCCTCATGTCATTTCAAACCGATATTTGCGCATATTAACCTCATATTGTAAGTAAATCAGGTAAAAATAGCTCTTTGAGGTGACAATTACAGGTTACCACTTTTAACAGTGTATGCTTTTATACTATACTACATATACATATATGGAAAATAGCAGTGTGAATATTCTTAAATAAATCTCCTTTCCATGTTCCACGAAACTCAAAGTGGTTTTTAATGTCTTGAGGGTGAGAAAATGACCTTATTTTCATTATTGGACGAACAATATTTATTTAATAACCTACTAAAAATAAACACAAATGTTTGGCTTCATTAGTTTAGTGGTGAGATGATACCTGAGCTTGATTGTAATGACTGAGTGCAATGCGGGCTGCTCTTTTGCACTCCTCCTCCAGGGCATTCAGCTGCACTGCCCTGAGGTCTCTTTCCACCAACTCCCTGCCGGTTAGCAGCTCTGCACACACAAACACATATATGAAATGCATGCTGTGCTCCTAAACACAGTGGAATACACTTACATTATCGTTGCTTCTATTTTAATATCACAAGGCTAAATGGGATATAATGTAATCTGTTTACCTCTGTTTTTCTGTTCCCTTTCTTGTTTCTCCCTCTCCTCCCTTTGAGCTCTCAGGTTTCTCTCGTTCATTTCCATCTGAGCTCTCTTCTTTTCATTCTCATTCATTCCTTCTCCCTGACCGGGTGTGCATAAACATATTCATAGAATATGAACAGTGGTGTCCTGCAGTGTGACATGATTTATTTTTTAATATATAATAATTATGCTGTTTTAAAGGCCGTTCTATTTGAGAAACTACATATCTGTACTTTCTTTTGTCACACTGTAGGACTATTTAAATGAACTACAAAATGGTGAAAA